GGCCAAAAGCAGCCGCTTTGATTGGCTGACAACACATGTTTTTTTTGCACCACTCCCCCCCCCCCCCTTGTTTATGATGGCAAACAAATTTGTTTTTTATATATATATAAATAAATAAATACATCTTCTTTTGGCTGCCAATTTATGTGTGCCAATTGCTGTTATTGTTATTGCTGCTTTATGCAGTGCTAACATGCAACTCGATTGCCATTCGAACATGTCACACACACACACACGCACACACACACACATAAATAAAAGGACACGCGAATTCTCTCAGCGACTGCAAATGCACTTTTGTAAAAGTTACAAAAATCAGAAAATAACAGAAAAGCATGTAATCTATAATAATTTGAGTTATGTTTGCCTGCTTGAATTGTAAGAAAAGATAAGGTATTTTTGAGGAAATTGTTTTTAAATATATGAATATATATATGCATATTTGATAGATCCTGAATCTCTGCTGGGCCTGCTGGGGTATAGAAAATTAAGTGCATTTAGCTTAGTTTAAGCATTTAAGTACAGTGATCACTCGAATATATATTTATTCAATGGCACGTACAAAAATTAATATAGTCTTGAATGAATATATAATATAGTATGAATTATTTTTCACAGTGTGTCCCACTGCATTCCACCCGTTTCACAGTGTGTCCCACTGCATTCCACCTGTTTCGCAGTGTGTTTCCCACTGCATTCAACCTGTTTCGCAGTGTGTTCCACTGCATTCCACCCGTTTCACAGTGTGTCCCACTGCATTCCACCCGTTTCAGAGAGTGTTCCAATGCATTCCGCCCGTTTCACAGTGTGTGTCAATGCATTCATTTGTTTCCATTGCCCAGCTCAACGTAACTTAGCATCTTCCTTGATATTGCCCTAGATCTCCATTAAATCCCAGTGTATTGCACTTCATGCCAAAGCATCTCTCTCCTGCTCTCAATCTCTCCTGCTCTCTCTCTCTGACTGTATCTCACACTGAACTAACACAATCTAGCTCCCCGCCCACTCCCCACTCAAACCTCATCATCTAGCGCAATCTTATCTGTGTGCTCATGTAAGATTTACCAGCTCGCAGCTATCACAATCGTCGCGCTGACCGCGCACATCAACCCCTGGCAGGCTCTAGACCTCCGCCCAACCCCCCCCCCCCCCCTTTGCTCCATACATTCAGCGTATCTGTAGACGCGCACTAAAGTGGCTTATCAGCGCAGTTTAGTGTTTGTATTTAACTAGCGTGTGCTTTATACAAGTTTTTAATGCGGTAATCAAGCGCTTGTTAACACACGCGGCGTATGCGCAACGTCTACGATAAGCGTCTGCTGCGCAACGGGGGCAAACACGGCAGGGGGAAATTAAGTTAAAAATTATGCTGCAATAAATTTAAGTCGTGTAGCAAGCGCAGGGGGCGGGTGGCGGGTGTTTGTGCCCCTCGATTGCCGGGTTTCCGCTTATTGATTTATGAAACAAGACATGGACGAAGAGGAAGACGCAGACGAGGGGCTGAGAGTCGGTCTGGGTTGGGGGGCCGAAAAGCAAACTAAAAATGCACAAAGCAAGGCGATTCTTTAGTTGGTCACTCAACACACACACACACCCCCCCCCCCCTGACAAACCCACCCCCCCCCCCCCTCACCCACCATCCAGCCGCCTACTCGTCATTATGCTGACCGATTATGACATTTTTTAATGGCATTTTCTCGTTTGCCTTTTGCTTTCTTATGCTATTGATTTCTGGCCATAACGACGCCTTATGCCATGGGCGGCAACCAGCTAGTAGGGGGGCGTGGCTGTGTTACATTTTGGGCAGAATGTCGCACAGACTGTCCGGCAAAACTGTTGTCACTTAAATTGCAATTATTGCGGCCATATGCAGCACGAATTGCTGTTAAATTGCTTGGAAAAGCCAAAATGCTCGACCGCACGCAGCGGGAAAACTAAGTGCGGGAAAAACTTTCAGCAGATCATTTAAAATTGATATTCTTGCGCCAGAAAACCAGAAAACTTGTTAAAAAGCAGAAAAGAAGAAGAAGCAAAAACAGCCCCCATACTGCAGCTAAAGTTAGGTTAAACGACAACCTACCTCCTGAGTTTCAAAGGCTCTCAAAGTTTGTAGCCAAAAGTTTTACTGCCTTCTCGAGGACTCGTCCAAAAGGATGGCAGTAAGAGGAAGGAGATTTTTGATGCCCTTGTAAAGGGTATTATTAGGCATGATATTTGACTTTTGCAGATATGTGACAATAGCGAAGTGCGTAAATTCTGAGTTCAATTAAAAAACCAAAAATAGTTTGTCATACAAGATCCAACTTGTCGACCGATCTTTCCTATGCAGCTATACGATATAGTAGTCCGATGTTGATAAGCTTACACATCGAGAGCATAGTTAAACTTATAAATGCCTAGTTTTGACAAGATATCTTGATAAAGCTTTATGATATAGACATTCGATCCGGCTGGTTCCGATATATATAATGGCTGCAACAGAAAGCTGAGAAACTAGTTCGCATGGAAAAAGAGGGACGGGTGGACTTGCAGACGGACGGAAGGACCTGGCTATATCAACTCGTCTGTTGATGCTGATCCCGGAATATATATACTTTATGGGGACGGAGATGTCTTCGTCTATGCGTTGCATATTTCATGACAAACTTATAATACCCTCGACAAGGGTTGGGAAATCTAGATTAAATTTGTTTGCTGTTATTTTGTAACTTCTATTTTAAACAGCAAAACTTCTTGGTTTGACCAATATATGAGCTTAATATAGTTAAAATATAATATATTGTTTTTTCACGCAACAGCAAATCACACGTCCAGGCTCAAATAAATTGTTGCTATATTTAAATAAATTATAGCCCAATCTAAAAAGTGCTTTCTGTTAGATTTAAAATATTATAAGTTTTTACTGCAGCTGCATTCAAGCTCTTGATCTTAAATAAAGAAATAACTTTGCAAGATTTTAGAATATTTTCGTATATTTGAGTCTGATCAATCACGTGATTGATAAGACTGAAATAGACAAAATTCGAATTATAATTTAAGTAAAAATGTTATTAATATATGTATGTGTGTATGTATGATTGATATTATTATATATGCCCGATATAGAATATTTCCATTTACGCTCAATTAGTTTATAAATGTTCCATATTTCTGGTCAATCACGTGATTGATAAGACTGAAATATACAAAAATATTCTAAAATCTTGCAAAGTTATGGAACATTTATAAACTAATTGAGCGCAAATTGAAGTACTTCAAGTCGGGCATATATAGTATATTAATAATACACGCATACATACACACGAACTTAGTTTCAGCAGCTCTCAATGTTGCCTTTGTTTTGCCTACCTTCAACCTTCACCTTTGAAGCCCCGCTGACATCTTCAAACTGTCTCGCACTCGCACCCAACTACCTTCAGTTGTCATTAGGCATTGCACGCATTTAAAAATGAATAAATATCATTTGAAAGCCGTTTAATTATTTGTAAATGAAACTAAAAATGACCTTGGCGTTGCCCATGGTTACCAGCTCCAGCCCTTATCAGCTGTATATGCTGTGTCGCCTCGACCTTTGCCCCGCGTGGCAGGTGCTCGTAACAGTGCCACAACGATTCTAATCAGACGAATGTCTATCACACGGCCGCAATCGTTGTGTATATTTTCTTTTTAGCGCCAGACACAATTCTGGTCTCATGCCCAAGAGAGTTTTCCATTTTCCGCACACTTTGATTTATGGCCCAAAGAAAAATGTCCAAGCACAAATTTTTGTTCATGCTTCGGCAATATTTTATACAATTTTAAGCACATTAATATGGATTAAGTATAACAGATTGGCTGGATAAAAAAGCGAGGGCAAGGCATATATTAATACCCTGTACAAATTGCTATTAAAAAGTGGCTAGTTGGGAGGTTAAGGCGCTTTGTAACTGAGAGGAGAAAAGTTTATGGTGAGTATCTAAAAGTCAGTAGAGCTTAAACCAGGGTATGTGAATGCCCCAATACCCTATCAAATTTGGGATTTATTAGGGCATGCCATATATTAATACCCTGTAAAATAGGTATTATAAAGAGGGTATGCTGGATTCTGAAGAGCTTGCAGCTGGCTGGAGAAAAGTTGATGGTGAGTATCTAAAAGTCAGATGTGAATGCCCAAATACCCTATAAAATTTGGGATTTTATAGAAAATTAAAAAAAAAATTAAGAATAATTGAACAAACTAATATTAAATATGCTATTTTATGTTAGACAGAGTATTTGCTAGGCGTTTATATGGAATAATCCCGTACTTAACTGAAGAATAATTTAAAAACTATTATAAAATATTCTATTTAATATGAGACAGAGCATCCGCTAGGCGACTTTATGGCCCCAGCAAAATAAATAGTTGAAAAAAATATCATTAAAAATTCTATTTCATATGGGAAAGAGCATTCGCTAGTCGACTTTATGGCATATTTGCCTCGTAGCATTTATTTGCGGAATGTTTGGGGCTTATTAAAGTTTCAAGTGGTTGGGTAAAGTTCAATTGTTTCGGTTTTTTTAAAAATGTATCTATCAGATACAATCGAGGGGGGGGGGGGGGGCTGTCGAAACTTACCATTTATGCCGCTGATCAGTGGATAATTACCATCACGGCCGCCGATTAAGTTTTTTAAGCCAGTTTCGATCAGTGTTGGGGACGATCGCTCCCTGTCGCTCATTTTTTCATAAAAATCTTGTCACTTTTGTGATTATACACGAAATTTTCAACAATTAGTGTGACCAAAACCTCGTTTTGGTATTATTTTTGGTATTTATTTTTGCTTTTTTTTTTTGCTGTTGTTGGTTTTGTTTTTTAAGCAACTTGTTTGGCTCTGATTACAACACGGCGCATAAAGCCGACTCACAACAATGATAATAATAAGAATTGCTTAGAATAATTAATAACTTTTTAACCTTTTACTTTTACTTTGTTTCTGCTTTTGTTTTTGTTTATTTTTTGATTTATTTGCTGGCGTTAACTTTTGTAGCGTATTTTGTTGTTTAATTTATATAACTTTGTTTTTTGTTTTCTTTCTTTTTTTGTTGAAATCACAATGTACAAAAAATGAATGTTTTATGCTAAATTCAATGTAAACTTTAAATATTGCACGTTAACGTTTCTTTATTGCTTGGCTAAATATGCATTATAATTATTAAACTTTATGTATATAGAGATATATTTAATTATTTATGCTGCTCGCTATAAATAAAGGCACCGCGAATTCATTCAACAATTTGTTCTTTTATTTATAATTCTTGCTGTTTATTTATGTATTTTCCTTTCTTTTATTTCTAATAACAACAGGCGTTTAGAAATAACAACAAAATTGTACAACAACATGAAACGTAACAGACAAATTTTATTCTTTTAATTTAGCTTATTTTTTTTACAATTTTTAAGTGAACTTTAATATTTAGGCGCATTGCTTTTGGTATTTTTGGTTGCAAGTTTTTGTGTTCTTTTTTTTCGTTGATTTTTTTATAGTTTAGCTTTAGTTGTAGTTTAATTTAGTTGAGTTGTTGTTGTTGTTGTTGCTTTGTTTCATTTGCTAATTGCGCTATTTTTATAGCATTTTTTTTATATATATATATATTTTTTACGTGTCGTGCGTTTTTTCAAATGCCGCTGCGTTTGAGTTTTGGCTACTTTTTCTTTTATTTAGCTTGTTGACAGTTGTTGTTGTTGTTGTTGTTGTTGCTGTAGAACGTTAAACGTTGTTGCAGGCTCTGCTTTGCTTATTTATTTATTTTTGTTGTGGCACTAAAAATAAACTCAATTGCTTTTTGTTTTTGTTTTTTGAGAGTTCTCTCGCGTTTGTTTGTTGTTGTAGTTGGTATTTATTGTACAGTTATAAAGCACTAGTATGGCATTCGCATAGACTTGACAAACTTAATAAACAGTTAGCTGGTAGGCTTTTTGGTTTGCGGGTAGAGTGTTGTGGAGCGGAGTGGAGTGGGGGGTTGTAGGTGCGCCTTCACGGAAATCAGCGCCCGGCGTGCGACAGAGACAGCAAGTTATATTTTTTTGTTCGCTAAGTGAGCTTTGAGCCTGATCGTTGGCGCGGGCACGTCTAGTGAGCGGGGGTGTAGTATATCTACACTCACACACGCGCGCACACACACACAGAGACACACGAACACACGACAGGACGTTTTGCTGGGAGTCGCGGCCGCCGACGAGCGAACAACACACGACGAGCCGAAAATCGATGAAAAATGTTGACAGCTCACCGACACAAGCGCAGGCACACGCACACGCGCACGCTGATTTCTTTTTTTGTTTTTGCACAAATGGATGATGTGTGTTGAAAAACGCGCGCGTTTCGTTAGCGTTTTAATGGCTGTTGTCCTTGTTGTGGTCAAATTAATTGGTGTAGCTGTTGTTGTTGTTCTTGTTGTTGTTAGAGCGCGTGGCGTGTTCTTGGTATTCGCTGCTGCTGCTGCTGCTGACGCTGCTGCTGCCGCTGCCTGACGACGACTGTTCGCTTAGCGCCGTCTTCGGGCGTTGTGGGTGTCGTCGACGTAGCCGCTGCCGCTGCCACTGCCGCTGTCGCTGCCTATGCTGACTGAGCGCGCATGTGACAAGAGCGCGATGCACACACACACACACGCACACAACTCGACAAACACAAGTGCACTTGGCTGACGGTTTGAAAGTCGCGCTGGCTCGCATAGGATGCGGAAGCCGTTAAAACTCTACACAGATGAGCGACGCTTTGGCTAAAGCTTCCGCTGCAGCTAGGATGCACTTGACTGAGAGCGAGAGAGATTGAGAGAGAGAGAGCGCTTGTTGTTTAGTGAGCCGCTTTTGTTTTTCAAAGGGAGAGAGTGCGCACGAGTCAGCTGATTTGCTGTGTGTGTGTTGTGTTTCCTTTTGCGTTTTCGTTGTTTTTTTTATTCGCTTGCCAATCGCTTGTTGTTGCTAATGCCTTATAGTAGCTGCCTGCTTTTTGCACTATGAGCGCGCGCACTAATACACATACGAAAAGCTCACACACACGCACGCAGAGACAAGCACTGTTGTCGTCGTCGTCGTCGTCGTCGTGGTCGTCGTTGTCAGGCCAAAAAATAATACGCTGTTTTTTTGCTCACTTTTTGCTTTTGTTACTAAAAGTTCCTGCTTGACACACGTGCTTCGCTTGGGCAAAGTTGAATTTTTTGTTTAAAGGCAGTCTCTGGTGCCGCTGCTCACCGAAAATGATTAATTTACCATGTTTCGTATGCCGTGAATTTATTAATGTATTATACGATTTTTGCACATATTTTTTATCGAATTTTATTTGCCAATTTTATTGTTTGTATTTAATTTGCGTCCACACGGCTTTGGCTGTTCATCTGACTCTGACTGGGCACACGCGCCCGTTGCAAAGTGTACAATATGCGCTCGCGGCCAGCAGTACAGGCAGAGCGAAAACGTGCTCGTGTGTGCGTGTGTGTGCGCGAGAGCGCCCAGCTACTAAGGGCAAACACACACAAATACAACAAGAACAGCAACAACAAGAAATAACACACAGATACGACATACTACAGATACAGATACGCTACAACTTAGAACCATGCTGACGCTGCCATGTGGCTGCCAACAAGCGCGCGCTCTCTCTCTCTCTCTCTCGCTCTCTCTCATACTCTGCTTAACGACACATGCTCACACATACACTCGCACACGCTCTCACTCTTGCTCTCTCTCGCTCTCAGTGACACCGCGTGTTGTGCACATTTTGAACTTTTATTTTTGGCAACCATTTTTTTTCTCTTTTCGTCGCGCGCGCAACTCAAAACGACGAACAACTCGCAGCCGAGCCCGAAGCTCAGCTTTGGGCAGCCGAATCTCGCAAGCTGCGCTGCTTCGGCTATTCAATTTGTTGTTGTTTCTAATTGGTTCTATGCGGGCCGACAGCAGCTTATGGCTTTGGGCATTTTCCACTGCGTCTCAAAGTTCAAATTGATATTTTTAATTGCGCGCCGCTCTCACACGCTATCGCCGCTCTCCCACTCGCGCTCTCTCACACACTCTCGCACTTGGTTATACTCAGTGAGATCGCAGCCGGCACTCATTGTGCTGGCATTTTATTCATTTGTGTTATTTTAATTTACTCTACGTACTATGGTTTTTGCTATTACGTCAATGCGACGGCGGCGCTGACGTTTGTCTTTGCATGAGTGTGTGTGTCTGTCTGCGACTGTATAGGCAGTCTTTAGCTGTATGTGTGCGTGTCTGTGTACTGCGGCAAGCGGCATTTGCTGTTCATTTCAATGTTTTTAGGTTTTTCTCTGATTTATCTGCCATACGCGCGGTTTTTTTTTTTTGCTTTTCATTATTATTTTTTATTTTTTGTTATTATTTCTAATATTTGTATTTGTGTGGCTGCTGCTGCTGCTGTCAGCGACAGAGGCGTTGGCGTCGCTGTAGCAGCGCTCACGTGAGTCGATTTCATAGCTAAAAACATTTAATGTGTGGAAATTTTTATTTTTTTTTTATATTCTGTTTTTTTGTTTGCATTTCGCTGTAATTTGTATAAATAAATACAACAGCAACACAACACGACGACAGCAGCATCAGCCAGCCCACCCCCACACTTCGCCCCGCCCCCCTAAGTCCCGCCTCGTATCGGTACGTTTAGATATGTTTTGTGTAATTTGCCAACTGTAATTGAATTTGCAATTCACGTAGCGACAAGACGCGTGCAATTAGAGCGCCTTGAAAATGACCGTTAAAGCAGGTGGGCAGGTGGGCAGGTGGGCAGATGGGTGGATGGGTGGCTTGTGGGTGGTTGGGCGTTGGATGGCTGCTAGTGCAATGGGCCAGATATGGGTTAACCGCTAATGAGAGGCATATTTATACAGTACACAACTCTTGCCGCAACCGTGGCTAATCAAACTGTTTAGTAAGCGTGTATAAATAGATAACTTCACAAATGTAGATCTGATAGCTTTAGCTCCGTCATAGCTCTACAATACCTCATAGTAACGAAATTATTTCAGATAAGCGCAATACTTTTCCAAAAGGAATAATAAAAAAATAAAAAACAAATAAGTTTTTAATAAAAAGCAGTCGGTTTGCACCTACTAAAGGTGCTTTGCTACAGATTTTGTTTGCTGATAAAGTAGACAGATATGCTTCTTTTTTTTTGATGATAATTATTTCCGCTTGATTTAATGACATGATTAAGGAAGACCTTTTGAGTATTTTGTTCTCAATGTAATCAAACTTATCGCAAGAGCTTTGACCCAGTTCAACAAGGCACAAATCTTTCAGTAGAACTTAACGAGCTCCTTAATCTCCAACTGTTATACCCTGTACCTATTGACTATGGGTAAGAAGGGTATAATGTTTTTGTGTAAATGTATGTGACAGGCAGAAGGAAGCATCTCCGACCCAATAATATATATATATTTTTGATCAACATCGATAGACAAGTGAATTTAGCCAAGTCTGTCTGCCTGTCCGTCTGTCGATCTGTTGGTCCTTCTATCTGTCCGTCTATGCGAGCTACAGACTTGAAATTTTGAACATAGGTCTTTCTAGTGCCCGATAATCGATAACTTTCCCCGTTTCCAAGCAATCGATCAAAATCGATAACACGAGCTGTTGTTGATGGTAGACGAAGGTCCAGAGTATCCCCTAGTCGGGCACTCAAGACTAGAGCCTCTTGTTCAATTGAACAGCGAAAAATAGGCAACCAAATGTAAAAAGTATCTTTTAATAATAAACTAACTACTGAAGTACTTCGACTTTAGCAAATAAATAATTTACTTCTCTCTAAATTATTTCCCATAACTTTTCTATAATGCATAATGCCCGACTACAAACTATCTTTTGAGTAAATTCGAAACTTGCTCAGCAAGTTTAACTGTTGTTCTCTGTGTAGCTCGAACTGACCTCTGTAAGTGCTATTAACCCTTAGAATGAATTCCAAAATGTAAATACATCATATAATAGAATTCAACCTTCAACTGGCTCAACTACAAAGTGTACTAAATATAAATCGTATTGCTTGAAATTATCTATTCGTAAAATTTAGCTATTTCGGTGGCCATTCTGAGTCATTCCACACACACACACACACACAAACACACAGACTCTTACACCCCGCACAACCAAAAACATGCACAAGTTAATAGCAAAAAAAAAAAGTTGTTCAAGAAAGAATTTTGTATGTGAATAGAGCGAACAGAAACTGTCGCCCTGTCATCATGTGACATACTGTGAATGAAAGAAACTAGGAAATGGCAGCAACAGGAGGCCCGTTGCTGGGCAATGGAGGTCGCCTTCAATAGATCAGCGACAGACGAGATATATACATATATGCTATATGGCGGCTATATGCCCGGCTATACGGCCGAAACGTGTTCAAGCGCAATAAATTATAAATGAGCCCCGAAGCGAACGCAACTTTGACAACCCCTGCCTTTTGGCTTTTGCCACCTTTTCAGAAGAACCAACAAAAGAATGTCGGAATGTGTGTGCGTGTGTGAGTGTGTGGGTGTATTTGACGTTGGAAGCAAGATATTATATATATATATATACAGCGTATATGAATCTATATCTATATAGCTTAGCATTGTGGGAGATGAACGCTCGGCGTCCGTCAGCTAGTTCCAACAATGTTGCCGTCACAGTTGTTGCTGTTGTTGTTGTTGGTCTTGTCAAGGAACTGGGCAGGCAGCTATAGATACACACACACACACACACACTAATACACTTATTTGCTTTGGCATTTGAAATGTCGCAGCCAAAGAAAATATATTTCGACAACAACAAATTCTTTCAAACTCGGCTAAGCTCTTTTTGTCCCACAACCTGGCAAATATTGTGGCTCTTATCAGCCCGCAACTCGCATGCATATCACTAAATAAACAGCCGACGGCAACGACGTTGACAGCCGAGAAAAAAAAAACAGAATATTTAAAAAAAAAAGTACAAAAAAAATAAAACGTGTTTTTTTTTTTGTTGTTATTTAATTTAGTTTTTTTTTGTTGGGTTTACCTTTAAAACGCACACATCATGCGTTTATTTTTCGGTCTGGCTTCTTATCAAAATCATCAAAAACAAAAAGTAGAGGAAAACAAGAGGCTTTAGACGGGAGTGCCCGACTAAAGGATACCCTGAATACCTCCTTTTACCAACTAAAAATGCAGCTCGTGTTATCGATTTTGATCGATTGTTTGGAATGTTATCGATTATCAGACAAAAAAATTTGGTCTGCGCCTGCACTAGGAAGATGTACGTTCATACATATGAACTGACGGATAAAAGGACGGACGGACAGACGGACGGACAGACAGACGGATAGACAGACGGACGGACAGACAGACGTATCTACATGGCTATATCGAATCGGCTATTGAGGCTGTTCAAGAATATATATACTATATGGGGTCGGAGATGCTCCCTTCTGCCTGTAACATACCTTTCCAAAAAATCCTTATACCCTACCTACCCCTTTTCAATGGGTACCGGGTATAAAATATAGCCTTGGCTACTAAATGCTCAGCCTGATGTGCCCAGTTTCAAAAACTATCTTCAGAGTCGTAAACGTTTCTCCACTAAAACGCTCCATTTTGCGGGAACAAGCGGAAATGGAACATTTGTAACCATTTCCATTTTATTTGATGAGCTCTAAAAGTTTTAGTGCCCAGCGCTAATCCCTTGTAGGTTGGTTAAGAATAGAATCATTAGGGCAGACGCTGGAACTGAAAAATCAGCTAAAAATAGTCCAGTCTGCCTACACAAACTCAACGAACTCGGAAACTATAATAGCTAGAGTTACTAAATTTAGTATGCGCATAGACTGATGTTAAGAACTGATAATTCCAAGCGCAAATGGATGTCGGATAGTAAGAAAGCTGTTTACAATAAAGGAAGTTATTTATGTGAAGTCGAATGTTGAGTAAAGGTGAGTGTAAGGTGGTTTTCAATATATATATTCATTTTAAAGAACCTCCAAAAGTAAATAATATTGGAATTTCCTAGCATGGTACCATTAAATGTTTATAATCTTTGCTATAGCCAAGCTCCAAATGGATAAGAAACAAACAATTAACACAGGTCTGTCAGGCAGGTAGAGTCTCCTTTTCTATAGACACATGCGATGCATTTGTATTTGTTTCTCTAATTTACCACTGAGATTATATATGCCTATTATCAGCTATCTCTATATATATATATACACGTGTATATACAAATATGTGTACTACATTTTGCTCTATTTGAAATCTCGCACATTTATACGTAAAAGCAACAACAATTTGTTAAAGACGACAGCGGCAAGTTGTACAAATTAACGTACAAATGAATGACGGAATTAGTACGTATGTGTCTATGCTATCTGTTGGGGTTAGAGAGGTGCATAGAGGGAGGGAGGGGGGTAGGGCGGGGGGAGTCGAGGTTCTGGCTTATCAGAGCAAACAGCACAGAGTCGAGCAGAGGGCCACAGATATATATCTAAGAATCCAGTTTTTTTTTTTTTTTTGTATTGGACCAATTCATTAGCAGCCCTCTAATGCATTAATCACACAAAACTACGAGAATCGATTTTCATAGTTTTCATTTTTTAGCACTTCTTAAGCATATTTTGACATTGCATCAGCGGTAGAGAATCCAAACGGAGCGCATATTCAAAGATATATTTCTCGTACTTGAAGTTCCCGAAAGATTCCCCATTAACTATTTCGACATTTTGTGGCGGCTCAATGATTGTGAATCATTGTTCAATTGTTTTTTTGATTGAACCAAATGCTGAGGGGCTATTTAAGAGTACTTTTCATATTTTATGAGCTTTTAATATTGGAAAAACCTATATGTATATTAGTCTGCAATGGAATGCGGTATACAGAGAGAAAAAACTAGCTATGTGTTGAGGATTTGAACAATATCATAGGAAAGAGATTTAATGCACTTGCATACATTTGCCTATGGACCTTGCAGAATGTGAGATACTTAAGTTCGATAAAAATAAAGAAGTAAAACTCTACTCTACGCGTATTTTATTTAACGTAATAAAGGAAAAATCATTACGTCAATTTCTTACGCGCTTCTCGAAACTAAACTTGTCAAAGTATCTTTTAATATGTTAGATTAAATCAATTTAATGGCTTTATCATTAGGAATTTTAAATGAAGACTTTAAATACTTAATTTAATGATATACATGTTGGATACTCTATCTATGTGAGCGAAGGGGCACTTCATTTAATGATTTTATTAGTGGGGATGATTTCATGTTAAGTAAATCGTTTTTGTGCCTCAGCAACAATATCAATTAGTAATGCTTGCGGTTCAAGGAGCGAGTGTGAGTGTGAGAGATTGTTTAAATCATTTCGTGCTCTTAAATAAATGCGTTCCAATTGCAAATGCAAACAAAAACCAATTTTCAATTTCCTCAGAAGACCACAAAACATATTTTACCAAAACTAAGCTTGGAGGCAACAACAACAA